ATCTCGTCCTTCTCTTCCTGTAACCTTTTCATTTCTAGCATGGAGCTCATCCTAGGAGCTCTTCTTGTATGAATCAAGGACCCTGTGGGCAACCTCTGGAGGGTGATATTGGGCATTACGAGCTTTGAGTGGGTATTCATTGTTTGGGGTAGTGGATATGACAGGAGGGCAATATTGGGGAGAAGTAACTGGAGGATGAGTGATGGAGCTACTAGGGTGGTTGGGAAAATTGTGATAAGCGGGTGTATCTGGAGAATATGGAGGATCATCCGGCATTGTGTTGGGAGTTTGGGTAAGGGCAGCATCCGGAAAAATCGGTGGTGGCGGGGATGGTGCCCTCCCAGTCATCTAGGCTTGATACATGTCTGCCATGTGTTGTCTTAACATCCGCACCTCTTCAACCAACCCATTATCCCGTTCAACCAACTGTTGTCGGGCACCAGTATCAACCAACTCAGTTCTATTGTTGTTTGCCATTGCCTTTTGTCCTTGTGTTGTAAAGAAGAGTTACCACTTTAAAACCACAAACCAACCACCTTTCTGGAATGACATGACAAAATGAAATCATCACGTTAGCGTTAGGGCATTTAACATATTGGTACCCGCACATTTGGGGAGTGAATGCACCTAGGCAGTTAACAGTTCCTATTATGCTTTTGATCGGTCGCATGCGTCATCCCGGCCTTTTCCTTATTTCCAATTGCACACTTTCTTTCTTTTTTTCTTTTCACTCTTGCCTTTGTCTTCTCTTGTTCATATTCTCTCCCTTTCTCGATTTTTCCTTTTCTTTCTTGTTTTTCCGCTCTTTTCTTTTCTTTTTGCCTTTTTGTTGTTTTTCCTCTCTTTTCTTTCCTTTTTTTTTCTTTTGGTTATGGTCGAATCCTATGGAGACTGCCTACGTATCATGACCCCGCATGAATCAGATCAAGCGTAGTTCTTGCAAATTAAATGCGAAAATCAAGAGATAATTTTTGGGATTTTCATTAATAAACGCCGATTACAAGAGATACTAGACTATTTGTTTTTCTTAAAGGGGGAAAATTACAAAACAGACTTAAAAACAAAATACAGACTCGAAGACTAAGAATACATCAAAGCTTCAAATCCTAGGGACCGCAGGGCATCACTCGGCATCGCCGCGGGCCTGCGCAAGACTGAGAAGGTTTCAATGTCAACTGTAGGCTATTTAAAGAAAGCTGGCCATGTAATGACTTATTTTGACTTTAAAAGAATAAAAGTGGCTATTTTTCAAAAATATTTATTTTGAGAAAACAAAGACTCGGTTTTGCAAATACGGCCTTTCAGCACTTCCGAAAGGGAGATTTTAAGGTTGTGCCCAAAAACCGTTTTAAAATGACTCAGGGTGGCTGTTCTTGCAAAAACAGTCTTCCGGCGCCCTTTTGGGGACATTCGGCTTATTTTAAACAAGAATGACATCACCCGACTTATTTGATGAAAATTAAAATTTTGGTATTTTCGGCTATTTTTGCAAAAAGGGTGGTTGGACCCGACGAGGGTTGCCTACGTATCTCACACCCGGTGAGAATCAAACCAGCGTAGTTCGGGCAGATTTGCCAAAATCAAAACTATTTTGAACAACAATCTTCTTTCTATTTTTCCAAATATCTTTCTCTTTTTTCTTTTTTTTTCATTTTTCAAAAATCCGGCAGCATTCAGTACTATTTGGGCATTGGGTTTTCACAACCAATGTTTACCCTCGCTTAGTCCTAACACTACTATTTTTTACAATTTTCACTCATTATATACAAGCCGGTCAACATGCAAAACCGAGCAAATAAATGCGCAAGTAGCACGTAAGATGCATCATGATGGTCATTTCATTTCAGGTCACCTGTCCTAGACGAACCCAACCCCTGTGTTGAGTCCCCTAAGTCAAAATGCACGTGATGCAAACAAGCCCCCTGCTAGGGATCCGGCATGAGGTTTTGTTCTTCTAGGTTTAACCCCTAGGTTTATTGGTCTAGACCTGCTTACCCGAGCGGACAACTCGAGCCGAGGGGGAGGCAGCGTACTGGGGATACAGAAGCTCCACCGGCTTAGCAACTTATCCAACCTCGTTCTAAATGGGTAGAGACTCTAAACAGAAGAGAAGCTACACGAAGTGCACCCTTCTCCATGATGTAGAAGACTCAGAGAGAGGAAGGGATTCGCGACAGTTTATATACAATGCAACAAATATCAAAACGGTGAAACATTTAGCACATATAGCATGAAACATGTAGAAAAATCAGATAAAGCCAAATATAACAATTTAACTTAGCTCGAATTCTTGAACCCTGAACCAAAATTCTGGGTTCTTGTCCCCAGCAGAGTCGCCAGAGCTGTCACACCTCCTTTTTTCTTACTACACCCCGTAAAGGGTATAATAAAAGGAGTTTTTTTCCAATTAAAGGACAATCGAAACGGCATTCGTTAATTAAGAGATTCAGAGTCGCCACTTGGGAGATTTGTGGTGTCCCAAGTCACCGGTTTGAATCCCGAATCGAGAAAAGGGTTTGACTCTGTATTACAGTCGCGAACCAGAAATCCGGGTAAGGAATTCTGCTAACCCGGGAGAAGGGGTTAGGCACTCCCGAGTTCTGTGGTTCTAGCACGGTCACTCAAATGTTATATTTGGCTAAAATCTGAATTTTATACATGTTAAAACCTATAGTGCAATTTTAGAATTATTTACCGCTCTTAGTCAATTTTTAAGAAAGTGAACGTCGTTTAAGAACGTGTTTTCGGATCACGTCACATGAAATGCACCCGGATCCTCGACACATTCTTATTCAACGTTTTGGGATTTGGGTTTGGGTTGCATGAAATACACACCCGTATTTAAGAAGGTAAAATTATTTAAAGCGCGCCTAAAGCGACAAACGGGTTATTATCTTTGCGGGAGGCCGTGAAATTTGCTAAACGGCACGCCCCGAATACTAAGTATTTTAATATGGGCATTTAATGAAGGCCCCGCAATTCATGCATTTTATTTGGCGAGGCTCGTCTCATTTTTTATTTAAGGTCATCCTAGAGCAAACTATAATTGTCTATTTATTTTGTCTCTAAAAAGGGCCTTAGTTAATTGAGGTTATAACATCCGGGCCGCAAGCTCAAGTCCGAATTTAAACAAGAGGAAACCTCTTAATTTAAACTCGCTACTTAGATTAGAAAGCCTAGAGATGTGTTACTGAATTACAGGGCAATTAAACTTTTAATACGTTGGGCCTTGAAATTGGCATAGAAAATTCGGTCAATTTTGTTTTATAAGGCAATGCCAACTGTGGGCCTTTGTGCAGGCCCAACTGAAATAAAGCCTGACTTGAAATCCTTGAAGCTAACTCTTATATTTGGGCCTTTGACCGGTTTAGCATACAATATCTGGACAGTTTTACTAGAGGCCCAATGATAATGAAATAGACTTTTAGTATCTTTCCTTTAACATAAGAAATAAAACAAAATACAATCTAATTTGACTTTCTGCTCTTATGAAATTTATGAAGAACGACATGAAGCCCATTTTTATGTTTTTATGCATGTTTCGAAGTCAATTCAGGTACTGAAATGAAAAGAAGCTATGAAAATGGCAGAACACAAAGAAAGGAAGACTTAAAGCTAGACATGTCTACTTAAGAATTCGTACACTTGATCCATCATTATTTGTCCAATACTGTGAATATATCAATTTCCAAACAACAAGTCTATCAATGCCCGCATATCATTGTTATGCTGAGAAAAACTATATCAAACTAAGTACTACTATGATAAACTATGGATGTTTTTATTTTAGAGATTCTAAACAAAGTTTGACAGTGACGATGTGAAGGAGAACAAATTCTGGGTTCAACAGTCAACCATAGAGCATTATAATCTAAACAGTCCAGTTCATCTACAAATGCAAATTCAACAAAAATCCTGGAACTATTTACAGCACAGTAATGAGTTTCATCATACAAGGAAAAGCAAATGTAGCACTCCATTTCATTCTCAAAACTTGATAGCTACATGATGTGTACCTGGAATTTGAATCAAAGTAAAGAGAAGGAGAGGTCAGCTGCAGTTCAACAAGCTAGCAAGAGTAAATAGCAAGCCACAGCAGCAGGAAAACAATCAACAATTCAACTCGAAATCCCAGTAATGGAAACAACCAGCGAAACAGACCAAAATTGACTTGAACCAACCAAATCCAACTTGAAATCACTCCAGAAATCTTTGACCTCAATTACTGGACAGAATTAGGCAATTTTAAACCATTTTGAATCTTATGTGAGTCGAAAATTTGAACAGGATGCTGGAAACTTGAAATCGATCTAAGATCACAATAGAACAGATGTTTTTTTTTTTTTTTGGAGTTTTGCTTTGAAGAACTAAGATCTAAGGAATTTTTCAGATTTGAATATTTGAATTTTGAAATTCAAATTTCAGATCTTAAACCTGTAGAAAATGTTGCTTGGTGGGAATTAGGAGCTGGAATTTTGGAATTTTCAGAGTGTAAAAATTTGGGAAAGAAGGCAAGGGGAGTGTCTTTTATAGGCAAATTTTCAAGGGGAAGCTTCCAGATTTCCTTACCCATTTTCCCCCTCTTTTTATTTTCATTTTTACCCAAATAGTCCTTTATTTTTGACTTGTTGCTCAAGTTACCCCGTTAAGTTACTAAAATTCTGATTTGAATCTCCTCTAGAATGTTCTGGGGAATTCCAAATCAGTTATTAAAGATTCCCTATCTTTGAATTACCCCACTTACCCTTTTATTCAACTGAAATTACTAATCCTATACTAGTTGACCCCAACCCCTTTTACTAACTAGGATTAACTAAATAATGGTCTAGACCATTCAGCTGTAATCACAATAAGTCCAAAACCTCTAAGATTGAATCCAATTGATACTAATCGAGACTGAAACTTGACCCTAATTCACACTACTATCAGTTATCAACAAATTAACAATCAAACTAAATCATCATTATCCTAAACTAAACTAAACAATCAAAGAATAGGAAATGAACATTAGATTAACTAATCAGAAAATTTTAATAGAATCAATCGCAACTAAGTACAAACAGAAAATCAAAGAAAGAACAAAAATAAATCAAGATAAAGGACTATCGGCATCAATTAACTATGAAGGAAAGTTAATCACAGGAGAAGAGATCCTACCGACTTAGAATGAACAATCAAAATAACCTAGAACACTGAACAAGAACTATGACTAAATCAATGACAAAATTAGAAGAACAAAATTATGCTAATCATTATCAGTGAATTAAAATTCAAACAAACATGAAGATAAGATCAGACAAGAACAGATTCGACTACTGATTCTAGACGGAATATCAAACAAAAAGAAAAACAAAACCTAGATTGATTAATCTTGAAGAAATAACGGTCATGGAAGAGAAACAAATGAAAAAAAAACAAAGAAAAAACCCACCTATGAGGTCCTAGGGTTCTGCCGCTTCTTGGATTTGAGATTCGATGCCATACAAGACGATTCGGAAGACGATAACCAAGGATTTGAGAAGAGGGACATAAGGAGAGTGTGTGGTGTAAGGTTGGGGTCATTTGGTGGTGGCGCCGCCGTGCACGGTGGTGGCGGCACCTAGGGTTTGGTATTTTTGAAGAGTTTCAGTAACATTCGAGGGAAACTAAGGGCGGTATAGGTATGAGGGGGAGGAGGTGGATCTTTGGTGTAAAATTGGGCGTTATCGGACGCCGGCCGCCGCCGTGGGGCGAATTCCGGCAGCCGGCGTATGGCGGAGCCGGCGGGGACAGTGGGTACGAGGAGGAGAACGTTGGTATTTAGGGTTGTAGAGAGTTATTATATTTTTATTTAAAAAGCTAGAACAAATCAGGATCGTTGGATGATAGGCGATGGACGGCCTAGATTTACCTGGGCCAAAACGGTGTCGTTTTGGTTATATTGGGGCGGACCGGATTGGGAAGGGATTTGGGCTTGGACTGGGTGTGTTTGGTTTGGGCCAGGCATACTTAATTAAAAATAGCCCAATTTCGGGTCTTTCATTAAGACAACCCTCTTTCTTTTTAATGGTTTTCTTTTCTTCTTTTTTTTTCATTTTGTATTTATTTTTTATTCATTATTTATATTTTTTCTGATTTTTATTAAATGCCAAATCAACAAATAAAAACCAAAATTGACTTCTAAAATTGTATTACTCAATTTCCAACTACACTAATTCCTAATTTAAATGCAAACTAAGACAAATTACAAGTATAAATGCAAAAGAACTAATTTTTGTTGTTTTCTTCTTTATAAAGTAACTCAATTAATCCTAAAATATGAAATTAAACCCTAAATGCAAATGTCAAGTATAGTTTTTATATTTTTCATTAATTAAAATGCACAAACAAAAATGCAAACAATTAACACAAAATGTCACAAAAATCCACAAAATTACAAAAATAATGAAAGAAATCATTTTGTTTAAATTTCTCGGAGTAATTCATATAGGGAAAAATTCACGTGCTCACACCATGAACTGTGTAACTTCTACAAATGCATCATGTATCATTCCTCGCATATTATCGCCCCTTAGAGTTGAATGGCTTCGGTTATTTTCTCCAGCATTGTTTGATCCCTTTAGAGACTCCCCATGACAAAACCAAGTATCATATGACGGTATAATACCATTAACCACAATATGATCATATGCTGTAGCCCGATTTACTTGATGGATAAGCACACACTCCGTACAAGGACATGTAATTTTTTCTCCACATTTTTCAGAAAATGCATGATTTAAAAAATCCTCTACTCCCTCCAAGTATTCTTTACTAACTCTATCACATTACATCCATCTTTTAATTCTAGGATTGTCCATGACGCTCAAGATATTCCTTTCTTTTCTATAATTACTGCAAGAGCTACAAATTTATTAGTAAAAAAGAGAAATTAATTAAAAAGTTAGTTCAAAATAAAAAAAAAAACTAATCCTATTAGTAGGTAATTCCATAGTTCAAAGATATCATTTTAACAATTGAAACTATAAAACATAAATCTATTAAAACTATCATTTTAACAGTTAAACTATTTTAACAATTGATTCATAAATCTTTTAAGAATAGAATTATTAAAGTTATATTTTATAGAAGAACCATATATCATATATTTTAAAATTTTCAAAACTTACTACTCATATTTGTTGAATATCCAGATATATACTCCATTTTTACCAATTTATTTTTAGCTCTTTTCTTTATTGAGCGCCAATTTAACTAGTTCTAAAGCTAAATGGAATATAAGTTAGTTTATATATTAAAAGTATACAAAGCCTAATATAATTGCGATGAAATCATCCATCTAAAGTTTAAGTTAAAGACTACTTAAACTAAACATGACAAGAAAGAGACAGAGTAAATAAACTTGAAAAATTCAACAGATTATGCAAAGCCTAAAAAGGTGTGAACTTTTTTAACAATAAGACGATGATTGCAGTGATATGGGGCTACTACATATGGGGCTCAATTGATATGGAATATTTTGCTATTTATAAATAGATCATAGTCATCATAGAATAAACATGTAAATGAGAAATAAATATAGCCAAAGACAACTTGCCAATTTTCACTATATTGATTCATAAAACTTTTAAGAATGGAATTATTAAACTTAAAAATTATACAAATTTTTAAGGCTGGACATTCTGACTATAACTAACAAGAAACTAAAGGCTACTGACTGTCGAAGGATTCTATATATTGCTAACAACCCAAGTTGTTTCTTAACAAACGAATGAATTACTGTGGTTAAGAGTCCTATTGACTATTGAGCTTTTAGATTATGAAAAGTAGCCTTAGAAAACATACATAGGAACCAATTCACAAAATAATACCAGAACAGAGGAGGAAGCAATTCAATCAATCGACTATCAATCTAACAGAGATATCACAAACGACTTAGCAAAAACATAAAAAGCTATTCTTTCACAAATTATTACTAAGTTTTCAATAGCCCTTGGCTTATCGCTCTTCTTCGTGGAACATGTTCCACGATACTAGAGACTAACATGGATATGCAAGAGATGAATATGCCAATTCCTATTCTTTCTATAGGTCTAAGCCTTACTTGTCTTCCTTTTATTTTAGATGCCAATGGAATGAACATGCGGTCATAGATAAGTATTCTAATTATTGTAGTTCATTCATAGTATTTAAGGTCATATTATTTTTAATGGATCCACTCGCACATCGAGCTCTGAGCTAACAAAATGTATATCGTTACCTTGAAATAGTCAAACAGAATGAGACTTTGAACCAAAACGTGGCACCTAAAACTTGGAACTTTCAGCTGAGACTAAAAGAACGATCAAAAATAATACGCCATTAAATTTGGCAATGTTGGAGAATAATGGAAAAAGGTACGGGACAATCGTGTGAAGAATGGTGCATAGAAAGTGTTCTAGCTTTGGAAAAAATATTGAGAATGGCTTGCCCCTTGATGTCCCAAAAGGCCATTTTGTAGTATATGTGGGAGAAAATAGGAGCAGGTACATAATTCCAATTTTTTGGTTGACACATCCAAGATTTCAGAGCTTGCTTCAAAGAGCAGAAGAGGAGTTCGGATTTAGCCATGATTCGGGAATTACTATTCCTTGTGATGAAGATGATTTCTGCTCTCTAATTTCCATGTTCAGATAGAGAAACTCAAAGGAGTTAATGATCAATTTATAATATATACGGTGCACTAGGCTCTTGCTACACACGAAGTTCCGGGCGGATCTAGCAATCAAATGAATAGCTAGAATTAACAGTGACTATAAAGTAACCCCTTCTAATTCTTTTGGGGTTGAGTGTAAATTTGTACTATATTGGCTTTCATGTACTCTGTATTTTTATCAGTGGTGCTAAATTTGCACCCGTCGAAAATTCTTAGTGCCATTTTTCATGAGCAGAAGCTGAATTCAATAAATATATCTCAATTATAAATAAATCTATATAAATAATCGAGCAAAAGGATCCACTGTAAAACAATCCATATAATCAATCGAGCAGCATCAACCATCAATCCATTGTAAATCAATCCAAATAAACAATCGAGCAGCATCAATCCACTGTAAATCGCTCCATCCATATAAAAATCGAGCAGCATCAATCAACAATGCATTGCAAAATGATTGCAAGCAACCAATTTAACAGGGGAAGAAGAGAAAATAACTGGGGAAGAAGAGAAGGTCACAGGAATGAGAGAACTTACCTGGAAAAAGAATCGACGACGAGGTACTGAAAATCGCTGCAGCAATCTAGGTTTTCCTATCATTCAATCCATATAAAAATCGAGCAGCCTCAATCAATAACGTATTGCAAAACGATTGCAAGCAACCAATTTAATAGGGGAAGAAGAGAAATTAACAGGGGAAGAAGAGAAGGTCATAGGAACTAGAGAACAAACCTGGAAAATAGTCGACGACTACTGGAAATTGACGCAGCACGGCAGCAGCTTAGGTTTTCTGACGGAATCCGTTTTTATTAAAGGGAAATATGTTTTCCTAGTTCCTACAAGTTCCTAATCGGAGGGAATCATAATTCTCGCCCAAAAAATTTGGAGGGAACCGTGTTTTTCTTTTTGTGGGGGGGAGGGAAACGCTAAAATATTAAAAAAATTAAAATCAATTANTTTTTTGAGAAATTGCGGCGCTTTTTCAATGTATATCCCCGGCGTTATTTGTTGCCTCTGGTGTGTTTGTGGTGTAGGTAGTATTATATAGGGTAGGGATTAGGTTAGGAGTATGGGCCTAGGAACTATGGGCTAAAAAGATGGACTATAAGATTTATAAAAACGGGATAAACCAACCTAAAACTAATTCTTTCTTCTAAAATTATGTACAATTATAATATAAAAATATAAAACTAATTTTAATTAATTGAATTAAACTATAAAATATAATTTTTTTTTTGTGTTTTCAAGATTATAAAAATAAAGATAGGGTACTATTTTTATATATATATTTTTTTAAGATTAAAAATGACTATAAAATATTAATAAACCTATTTTTTGTAATTTTTCATTTTCTTGTAATAAAATAAAGTAAAATAGTAAAAATTAGTTGAAATGGCGATATTAGGCCTGAACTAAATATTTACATGCTAAAATAGATAAAATTTCGGGGAGGGTCAAAAATCACATGTCAACAGGGAAATATGTTTTCCTAGTTCCTACAAGTTTCTAATCGGAGGGAACCATAATTCTCGCCCAAAAAATTTGGAGGGAACCGTGTTTTTCTTTTTGTGGGGGGGAGGGAAACGCTAAAATAATAAAAAAATTAAAATCAATTAGTAATTTTTAGTGGCAATTGTATTTTTATTGCCGGTAAAAGGATATCTTTTACTGACTAATGCTCATGTGCCGCTAAATTATCAGCTTAAATAATTTATTAGCAACAATTACATTATTGCCGGTAAATAATTGCCGCTAAAGGTCTTTTTTGTAGTAGTGTCGGTGGGATCCGGTTGCGCGCCTCAGCATGAAGTAATAAGGTGTGGGTTGTGGTGATAAGGGTGGCCGAGGTAATAAGTGTGGAAAAGTGATCATAATCACTATTGAAATGAAAATATGAGAAAGTTGTGAAATCATTGATGTGATGAAATAATGTTGAAAGGGGAAAAGGAGAGATTGTGAAACTTGTCTGGCTTTGGTTGTTCCTTTCATGTGCATTTGATTGTTGATTATATTACTGTTTATTATCTGTGTTTGATTGATTCTACTTGGGGTAAAGTTTGTATTGTTTGATTTTACTTGGGGTAAAGTTTGTTCATACATACCAGTACAATTCAAATGTATTGACGTCCCTTTTGCCGGGGGCGCTACATTCGTGTTATGATTGTAGGTGGATCTATAGCAGGTACTCCAGTCCACCGACAGTAGCACTCCTTCACTTCCCGTCAGCTGAATTGGTGAGCCCCTTTCCTCTCGGGGCCCTGCGTGGCTCATGCCGCTTTTCTTCCCGGAGTCTTATTTTTGGTATTTGTGTAAGGTATAGCCGGAACCTTGTTACCGGCAAGTATTGTATAACTCTTTTATATCCTTAGAGGCTCCGTAGACAGGAAACGTGGGTTATGTACTTATGTATTTTGTATATGGGCAGTATAACTTGTAAACCACGCTAAGTAACCATGTATGTTATGTATATTTCGTAAAAAGGTGTTTAAATCATAAATGGCTATTTCCTTTGATTAATGAGTAATGAAAACACAGGGTAGCACGTGGGATAGTAAAGGCACCCAGGTCCGCTTGACTGGGGCTACCCGGTCAAGTGCCGGTCGCGCCCCTCGGTTTTGGGGCGTGACATTAAACATCACAAAGTGCCTTTCCCGTACCAAGGAAAGGTCTACCAAGCATAATCGGCACCTCATAATTAACTTCACAATCAAGAATGACAAAATCCGCCAGAAGAATGAATTTATCAACACGAACCAAGACATCTTCTATCACCCCCAAGGGTCTCTTCATAGTTTGATCGGCCATTTGCAATCTCATAGAGGTGGGTCTTGGTTGTCCAATTCCCAAAGTCTTGAAAACCGAATAGGGCATTAAATTGATATTTCCCCAAGATCATAAATAGCTTTAGCAAACTCGGCACTTTCAATCGTACAAGGAATCGTGAAAGCACCAGGATCTTCCAACTTAGGAGCCATTGAATGCACAATTGCACTCACTTGATGAGTGACTTTGATGGTTTCAAAATTCATTGATCGTTTCTTCATCACGAGATCCTTCATAAACTTTGCATAACCGGGCATTTGCTCCATAGCTTCAACTAATGGCATATTGATTGAGTGACTCTTCATCATTTGAATGCTTGAATTGATTCTCACCATTTTGCTTGGCAAGTCTTTGAGGATATGGAGGTGGAGGCTTAGGCAATGGTGCCTTAGCCTTTTGCACTACCGGTTCCGGTATGTCAATGATGTGATCCCTAGACGGGTTCACCTCCTCTTGATTCTCTTCAACACTATGATCAATATCTATCCAAACCTCGCCATTTGATTGCACCATATTGTTTGGGACTTCTTCTTCTTGCACCACTTGCTCGTCATCAACAACTTGCCTTTTACTTGAGGTGTGTGCATTCCCACCTCTTCCACTTCTTGTATAACGGCCATGGCATGCCCCGTGTTGTTTCCACCCTTTGGGTATACTATTGTGTCACTTGGTAGTGCCCCCTTAGGACGAGAATTTAAAGCTTGATTGATTTGCCCCGTTTGAACTTCTAAGTTGCCGATTGATGTGTTGTATGAGGCAAGTTGGGCATCCGAATCGGAATTCTTTTCCATTATTTTTTTGAACATATTCTCAATACGCCCCATCTCATTGTTTGAAGAACTTGGACCATGGGAAGGATAGGGAGGCGGGTTGCTCGGTTGTTGATACATCGGGGGCCTTTGAAAACCCGACCCCCGATTGCCTTGATTATTGTTCCATCCCCCTTGATTGTTACCCCCCCCCCCCAATTTCCTTGATTATTTCCATTCCAATTTCCTTGATTGTCGTTGTTATGCCAATTCCCTTGATTGTTTCCACCACTCCAATTTTCTTGGTTGTTAGAATTCAATTGCTTTGATTGTTTTGAGGTCACCATTATTGTTGGTTTGGGCCTTGGAAGTTGTTTCTTTGCCCTTGAAAATTGTTCACATATTGCACCTCCTCTTCTTGTTCATGATAAGAATCATCTTGATCAAAACCACTATCTTCTTGCATATAATTCTCCACTCGATTTTGCACTTGCGGATCCTTGGTCCTTCTCTTGTTTACCATCGTGTTCACCCCTTCTATGGCATTGACTTGCTTAGGATTTTGCCCTTGATGAAGTTGAGCCATTGCTAGTTGATTCATGGTGGTAGTCAATTCGGCAATGGCTTGCCCATGGTCATGCAACTCTTTATGGAGGTAAATCATGTTTGAATAACCTTGTGGAACATTAGCCCGAGATTTCTACCCCGATGATGTTTCCGCCATTTCGTCCAAAATCTCACACGCCTCTGCATAAGGCGTGGTCAAAAAGTTCCCACCGGCAAGTTGATTCACCACACATTGGTTGGTTGTGTCAATCCCACGATATAAGGTTTTTTGAATCATGTTTTTCGTCATATCGTTGTTGGGACATTCCTTGACCATAGTTCTATACCGCTCCCATATCTCGTGCAGTGGTTCATTGGGATCTTGCTTGAATGCCAAAATCTCATCTCAAAGTGTAGCCATATGCCCAGGAGAGAAGAAATTAGCAATAAATTTCTCCGCCACAACTCATCCCAAGTACGAATGGAATGGTTCGGTAGTTGTTCCGACCAATCTAAAGCTTTTCCCGGTAGAGAGAAGGGAAAAAGCCTTAGCCTCAATGCATCCTCGGAGCCATTTGTTTGTTTGCTCCCCCAACAAATGTCCAAAAACCCCTTCAAAAGTTTATACACATTTTGACTTGGAGCACCGGTGAAGAAACCTCATTGCTCTAGCAAAGTAAGCATCACATTGGTGATTTGAAAGTTGCCCACCCAAATACAGGGATGGACTATTGCACTAGCATATCCTTCATTGGGTAATACCCGGTGTGGAGCCGCTCTTGGTGGAGGTGGGGTGGAACGGGGACATTGTCATCAAGCGCCCAGCCTCTTCTATTGGCTTAAGGTTAAAGAGGAACCTCATC